TAATTCCAGCTTAGGGTCAGCCAATCACTACGAGTTTCAGTCAAACTGGGCTTCAAGAGGGCAAGTACGATTTCTTCGAGTTCAATTATTACACTCGGTGCTTTGCCAATATACGAGCCGAACATGACTCGGGGAGTTTAGCTGCAGACACTCCAGTCCGTGCATAAAGATTTAAACGCCGCGGCATCACATGGTCAGGTATAAAAACTACGTATTTGAACAGGCTTCAGTCCGTTGCGTTGTCAGGTGCATAGGCGCGCCCGTAAAGAGGATCAGATCTTATGCATGGGTTAGAAGAGGCACCGAAGATCCCACCCCACGAATAAGCGTGCGCCTGGCTTAGCTGTACGTTCAAGAGTAACATGTTGTTTTTGTAACTCTGGTTAGGTTTCGAATGCATGGACAAACGGCCGGTATAGGTCGAGCTGCTACTACATGAATCGTCAGAGACGTAGGGTGGGCCAACAGGCTTGTGGGGTGAACAGCCCCACAGCTCTACCGGGTACGCCACCGGCGATGCCTCGGAACCAGTCTGGGAGCCCTTCTACACCCGGAAGCGGGGGTATACAGCCGATATTAACCCTTCGACAGCTCACGGAAGGCGCGCTAACCCCGCGTAAGCCAGTGGTCGACGACACAGGAGGAGACTCCACAAGTGAACGTCCACAGAACGGGAGCAGGAGACAGGGTAACCTAACCACCGAGGCGCACACCCCCGTCGCCGCGACAAAGCGCGACGCGGGAGATTCCGGTGCACGTGTCCGTCGAACGGGAGGAAAGACCCGGTCGGGCAGGAAACGGAGGAGGAAGAGGAGGCCCTCTGCTAGTGTCACGGGTGGGTGCCTACCCAACCTCAAGAGCAAGCTCGAGGAGGAGGATTACTACAAGCTGCAGAGCGAGGCCAGGAGGGAGGCCACGGCTCGTAGAGATCGCGCGATTGCCGAAGACGAACGGCGACGATCAGAGGCCGGGGGGAATCACCCCGTTGATACTCGGCGTAGGAGCCACGG